AAATAATGATAATAAAGTTTCCATAACAAAATGACTGACATTAATATTATTTATATTGAGAATATTTTCTTTAAAAATAATTTACTTGCTATGTCACAGTATAGTCATAGTACAATTTGAACAAAGTTCAAGCCAGACGAGTTCTGGATAGTTTTTTCTTCAGTAGTAATTAAACAAATTACACATTTCGTCATGTGATAACGCGAAAGTTGGCCAATCTCCCGAGACATGGCGGGAACATCACACAGGGACTCGCGATCGAACCCATGTACCCGAGGAGTAATATGATTGTATTTCAAACAGTTAGTTCTGTTAAATATCATATCAAAATTACCAACCCATATATAGGTAGATTTTAGTGACAACCAATGTGGCAAATATCAGTATACTGTGACGACTCCCAGGGTCGGCTCGACTTCGTTTATTTGGACATTACGTAATTTGATAAGCTGACTAGACTGCCTAGTACATACTAGTGTCACTAGTATTTACAACATGGAGGGTGTGACTCCGTTACGGTATAGACCTTATAGACCTTAGAGAGCTGTTTTCTAAGGTCTATGGTGACGGCGAACTGATTGTGACACACGTGAATGTTTCGTCTGCGTCGATCACCCTCAAGATACCGCGCCTCGTCATGAACGAGAGCGACTAGGTTGAAACTCTTTTTAGCTGTGCATGTTATTCCAGTCCAATTCCCATACATAATTTTTAAAGTGTCTCTGCAGTCGTATATGTGACTACCTAACTCGTTATTAATTTCTGACAAACAATTTTATCACGGACTACGTTGTATAAGGTAAATCTGGGAATAAAGTGTGTTCTATCTACGTATATAACTGGGAAAGAAACATTAAACACAAATTTCACCCAATTGGATTTCCTATCATCTATTATCTGACCAGTATTTTACATAATAACATATGTTTTTTTCTATATATTCAAGAGTTGATTTTTGATGCTAAGTTAGTTAACCCGAAATATAATAAATAATCGCTCGCCGGGAGAGTCGACATCTGCGCACGCGCGGGAATTCAGTTCCAAGCGACGATAACAACACACGCTAAAACGCAAAGGCTCATGCGTAGACGCTTGTTTGTAAACAATGACACGCTATGGCCATCTGACGCATGCGCAGGTGACGACCCCCTCCCCCGCTTGCAAGCGCTACAGTCGTCGCGCCGCGTTCTGTTCGATATGGGACCCATAGCGACGTACACAACGCGTGTAAAGTACGTTGTTTGTTTACATGGAATTCAAACATGCGCCTTGCGTCCCAATATCGGAAACTCAAGGTGCACATCTGGGTATTTTCACCGCATGGCAACCATCGTGGTGAAAACAAAGGATCAAAACTCTCAGAAAACTGTACTTTGAAATAGTTGTTGTGACTTTCATGAACAGGGTACCCCTACAGTTACAGCATATACAAATTTGGTTGTTAAGGATTACTTCAAAGTTGAGTTTGTGCTTTTTTGATTATTTATGTACATCCTTGCTAAATCTCGCTAAGCATTCAAAAGATAGAATGTTTGTGCCTTTAATACTCTTTTGAGTATGTTCAACTATTCACAATGCTGCGAAATTTCAACAGTCAATAGTCGGAACTGTTTGGATAATAAAAAGCACAACAAAAAATCACCCCCAAGTGCCCACGAACCTGCATCTATACCTTAACAGCATAGCACGTTAAGTTACGTAGCTCCGCTCCACGAGCCGAACGTCTGCCGCAAAAATAAATGATTTGATGTTGACTTGGATTTCTTTTGCTATAGCTCAATGTCAGAAGAAATACTTTGTTGAGAAGTTCATCAAAACTGTCCAACGTCAAATGCGTATTATTAGGCACGGTACCCCCAAAAAAGACTTTCGCGTTTTTCTAATCTTATGCGATGTTTTGAAGCCACTACTAGATTTTGTCCTGTTTTAAGGTATAAGCCTACTCATATTTTTTTTAGAAAGTTGGTCATAAATCGCATGACAATGTTCAATGGTCTATTATGTAAAATTCTGAAGCTATTGTCCCATGGCACCATGAAATAGCATTCTTTTGTGTGTTACAGGTGACATATTTTGAGAAACTTGTCCAAATATTTTTCAAAAATCACTGTTTTTAGAATAATTCCATAGAGCACAAAGGTTAAAGAAAAATTGATTTGTTGAAATTTGTTAAAACCTAGATTTTTGAAATAATTCAGAACAACAATGAATACACCATCATTAACAATATGAGATTTGTTCAGCCTATGTCACCAGGGTACAAATTGAGATATGGCATAATATCTCTGCCATCATTTGAACCTATGGCAAAAGCGTTATAAAGCTCAAAATGACCGATATCCACTAATATACAAGAATATTTTATTGAAAATTAAGCTGGTGACCCCCAACTTTGTTAAGTCAATATATTTATAATGCCCGGGGTACAATTTATCGGAAAAGGAATAAATTCTGGGTATTTGCATTCATGAATAGGCTTCTACCGTAACGTTCGATTTCACGCATAACGCGGGATCTTGCAGTGAACGGAAAAGGGTCCATAGAACTTGGGGTAAATTATGCCCGTTAGGATCGGATTTTTAAGAAGAGAATGCGGTAAAAATTTCGGGAATTTGCAGGAGTCGACGTAGTACAATGAAATGTGGCCCCTGTCCAGCTGTTCTGATTCAGTGATTTCTCCCAGTGAGTAAATACGGAGAATGGGAAATTCCTGAATAGGAATGATGACGCGTGCGCGTACGAGTAATTTTACAAAATAAATTGGCAATTTTTACACCCTGGATAATTGTCTCATTGTAATTGTTCTCACGTACGAAAAAAAACATTATCTACTACCCCTAAATGGCCTGGTAAACAGCTGAGAGACATCGTTAAGAGTCAGCGCAGCTGCGAGAATGGAACACACACTGTTTTGCGTGTTTCAAATGCCCGACTTCCGTCTAAGGGGCATAGAATAGTCACGGCATTTAAAAAATACACGACAAAGGCCACATGAATTTATGTATGTGTTTTTTCTCACTCACAGAAATACTTTACTCAATAAATAACGTGTAGCAGAGGAAACGTGCACTATACAGAGCTACAGAAAGCAGACTGAGGGGCGCATATTTTTGACGACTCTGACCTATATATGTTATATACGCTTGCAAAATCGGAAATTGACGACGAACACTAAGCACGTTCATTGACCCAATCGAGAGCAAATGCATCTCCAGAAGGCCGCGTACAATATTTATCAAGCATAAATGTAAGCTATGAAAGCTTTGAAAATGTGTGCACCCATGCATGTCCCTGTATTGCGAATATATCGCATATATTCTTGACATTCAGGGGGCAACGGATACCAATGCGTGACTCGTTCGTGGTTGACTCGGGAGCCAATCGGTGCATATACTGTATTACGTTATAATATGCTTACCGGTTTTGATTAATTTCAGCGCCGTTGTTGCCTGCGTTTTCAGCGTTTCGCTTATCTTCGGCGTATCCATGCCGTGTTGGTGATGTCGGTGATGGTGATGGTGATGCTGGTAACGGTAGTGGATAGACATCACGGCTGCTCGGTCGATCGGTCGTAAAGTAGTCCGTGGAATTCAGCTGACACCATACACAAACGGAGAACGATGTACATTCCGAACCGACGTTAATCCCCGATCGGTGCAAAGAAGAATTCGCGACCGGGGGGGGGGGGGTAAACACAACAATGAACACTGAAAGAACAGCAACAGAGGTACTAGTACATAGAATTCTCGACCACAGAAAGAGAGCAGACGAAATGCATACACATATAGTCGTGGAATCCAATACGACGCACTGCAGGACACCACACAACAACGAGCGTGTATATCACATTGCCATTCACGCCTTGGGCATCGCTCGCCAAAATGATGTATAGAGGGCGCTCGTATCAAAACGGTTTCCATGGCAGCGGATTTATTATCGCATCTCCATGTAGCACCGCGAACTGCGTTATCATGGAGACAGCGTGACTGTACTTTGAATGTAACTGTCGACATAGGCGAATGTAATGAACAATTATCCGAATCGTACGTTTGTATGTACTATCATTATTGAGGGGGGGCACATAGTTACGAGAAGAACTGATTATGTGAATTTCGTATGCAGCCTTAATATACTAGCAAGCACCGTTAAGATATGGAATAGAGACAAACAGATTATTTTTTCAGAGCTGACTGGTATCATTTATGAGCAGTTCTGTGAAATTTTAATATAATAGTAGATCTGTTTAAAATTGAAATAGCGTTGTGGTAATAACGTGTTCTGATGTTTTCACAGTTATATGACATAAACGATCATTATCTAATCTGTCTTGAAACAATAACCACACAATTCATCACGAAAACATCCCTCCACTGTCACTACCACACACAAACGCACACATACAGCCAATAGAAAACATTGAAGTCACACAAACAGTATCGCTCAAATACCCCATTTATTTTAATCACGTTGTAGTAAAGTAGTCTTATTGTGAACCTACGTGTTGGAGCATTGGTGAAAGGCAATATTTATTACTATCCAACTAAAGTGTCATTTATAAGATATATTAAATGAGGCGTGACTGGTCGTAATATTTATCTCAAACGCTTGAAATTCGGGTGTGGCAATTTCACGGACTTTTTAACAATTGTGATTTTAACATCGACACAGTGTGTCCGTCGTGTGTGTGTGCGTATCCCCTATTTCAGACATATGCGTTGATATTTGAGCAAGAGCTACTTTAATTATTATTAAAGTACCAAAAAAACGTCGGTTTATTTTGTTAATTGTTGTCTGATTCATCGTTAGTAGATGTCACGTGTTCTATGAGTCCGTGCTAATACGGGGTTTCTAAACGAATGCATTGTGTGCGTCATACAGCCCACACGTCGTTGCATGACGTAAGTAATGGCGTCTTAGGTAACATACAAGGAAAGACCGCGAGTGAAATTGTATCACCGAGAGGACCATATATGGCATATGTGTGTCACCGTGATAGCTTTTTACTCGGAATGAGGTGCCAAACCACATACGGACGCGTAATAACCCCACTCTTCTTTCTAACTCCCCAACTAAGCATAATGCTGAACCTTTTATTCATTCGAAAGAATATTGTAAATTGTTCAACAAGCTGTTTGTATTTTATGATTCGTACCATCACCGCGACAAATCACAGCAAACGTGAAAACACATCACATATAGTCGGTATTACACGACACATTTTGTTGTTGTTCGTGGTGAATCAAGCATATTTCATATATTTGCACAGTCAACCAAATACACGACATCAAGCAATGAATAACATAAGTGTCAAAATACATTGTTTAGATTAACCGGAAATTTGATCATTAAAATCGGGTAATTTAACAACTCAGTAGGTTAACGTGACAGCTTTCTACGGGCGCATGCGCTTGTTAGATTAGCGTAGTCGTATGACACCAAACAGCACGACACAACGATGATGAGTTGAAGACGAGGAGATAATGTGACGTCACACCTCATTGTATTGACGGATGGGCCGTTACAGTCACGTATAATTAGGCGCGAACAGATAAGAGATGCACACGATTTTTTTTTACTTCGACGTTGTTCTGCTTTATGGGCAACTTATGATATATATAATATATTCCCACGATAAAATAAAACCATTTTAACTGTGTATATTTTAATGATACTCGTGTGGTTAGTCACGTGGTTTGCTAATGCATTTCAATAGTTTATTCTGTTCAGTTTTTAATAATGAAACTAATCATAGATTTTTTTCTCAATATTTATCTAGAATTAGTAAATCTCAATAATCACTCTAACGTATGATTCTGTTCACAGCAATTGCTTGATATTGATGCGCACGTGGACGTAGGTCCAGGTGGACAGTTTTTCTAGTATTTGAAACGATGTACAAAAGAACTAGTTATTTATTTTCAGCATGCTCGTGTTAAACATCATATCATCGTCTACCAACGTGGTTAGTTGAGTAAACCAAAATTATAAGCTACGTATTCTTCATACTTTTGCGATTGACAATAAAGTACAGGTGGACAGTGTATCGCTAGTACTACTCAGACTCCAATCAAACAGTTTCACGTTTCTATGGCTATAATCCTGCATCCACAAGGGACACTACGTGCAAATCGTTCATGGTCATACTTCGGTATTGATTATATTATATCACAACAGAGGGCCTTGTGATCTCATATTAGTCCGTTTGTATTAATTTTAAACTAATATTTCTGATGTATTACTGTTACAATGACATTCTAATCATAAATATACAAATATTCCATCAGATCGACCAATGCCTGGAACATTCTTCAGTCGTATCTTAACAATGTACATGTGTGATGTGTAATGAGGAATACTCATCTTCATATTTAAAAGTGCAACGTGATTACTTTTACAGACAAATAATTGAATAATTGCGTCTTAGGAGTTTTCTTACGTCTGACGTAACCTTTTAGAAGCATATTATTTAATACGTAATAGCCCTGGGTCATATATTATTTATTTATGACGAGTTCCATGCCGCTGTCACGAGTTAGAATCCCATGTTAGGCGCTGTAATTTATGTATGTTCGTTCGCCTGTAATCACATTAATTATTCATAGTAACTCTTGATGGACGGACATTTCCCGGGGGCTAATCTTCACTGTGAATGTTCGTACTGAAGAACAAATATATGGTTGATATGTGTGTAGTTTTAAACTACACACTGCTTGTAATGCCGAGATTTTAGTTATATGTTTCAATTTACTGTAGGACCGAACTCAATACGCGGCATTTGGAGCTTTTCTTTTTTAGGACAGCGTGAGAGTTCAAGCCTGCTTAACCACATCTTGTCAATATTGCGAGTTTCACCACCTTTTTATGGATTTTCGATGGTTTTGCAAATAAATTTTCTGAACATTTTCTGATTTTGAGATTATTCTGTTATAAACTATTAGCAATAATAACAATCGAGGTTCATCGTAAATTGTATGCTTATACTTCGCAAAAGCACGAGACGAAAAATTAAATTAGGTTTGTAAAAAAAAATCCACAAATATAATGGGTCACCCACATTTTTATTACAATATTTATGCTTTATTAGGTTGGATACACTAATACTTGTGAGATTGAAGTTTTCTCACGAGAAACTCTTCCGCGTCTACTTTGAAAACCTCGTGATTTAGAAATTATAAAAGCCTTAATTATGTATATATGATGCATAAATAATACATTTTTCTAAAAAGATTTTTCTTTTTTAATAGCTATTTACTCATACTATGACATAAGTATATAAGTAAAAAACGAAAAACTGCTAATTAATATTATGCCAACGCTGACTTCGTTTTGTAGATACCACACCAAGCCAACCACAGAACATCAATGAGAAGTGTGATGCCCATGCAAACGTTCACCCATCGTGAGTGACACATCGCCGTTTTTCGGCAGTACCCATCTATGTCTTAAATATTAGTACTCAATTCAGTCGCACATTCTTAAGGACACCAGCTAATTTTATGTAAAAGTGTCATTTTCGTGACAGACTAGCATAATTGCGTTTTTTGCGCAACTTAGATCTACTGTGGTTCAACTATACATAGAAGACACACAGTTGTAAACTGATCATATGAGGGCCCAATGACAGTTGACTGACGTAGAGTAGATAATGACTTCCCAGTGATGACTTCTTCCCATTTACTAATGGTGCGTGCTGCATGTCTAACAAGACATGAAAGTATGTATGTTTTGGTGTATGCCCTTTGTGATAATATAATCAAGACGCTGGACACATTCTAATTGTGTAGGCGAAACAGAACCGATATCAGATTAACATTTGTATTTTTTGAATAAGCAAATTCATGAGGTCCGACACTCCAGGGATGTTTGCTACCTAAATACCAATGACAAAGTCGGGCGTTACACGATAAACGATTATACAGCAAGGGCAAAAAGTTATATCAAATAGATGCCTCGGGAATATAGTTTGTAAACATACAGACCGCCACGTTAAGTGAGTTGTATCTGTCCACCAACATGGCTTTGTGCCTGGAAGGTTCAGTGAGACAAATCTGTCAATCTGCATATCTGGCAGATTGGTATTTTGTAGGAAAGACAGAAGAATCTATAACTAATTTTGTATGGCTTTTGATAAGGTCACTTATGTATATTTGGAATATAGCATGAGTAATTATGCCAATCAATGTACAGTTATCTGGTTGTTCAGTATTTGAGAACACAAGTCAGCTCGGGCATGCCACGGGTCTTGGATCCACGCTAAAGCATCTTTGTTCAAGGGATATTTTTAGAATTTGTAACGAAATTTTACAAACGAGAGAAAGAATATGTTTCATCAAATTCAGTTTTTAACTGCATTGCAATTTTAATGAATAAATGTAAACAACCACATTTCACTAACTTTTTTTAATGTAAATACAGTTTGTTTTTTTACCATATGTTACTCAATTTCCATATTTAGTTTCAACTTGTAAATATTATAATACTAATATCACTAAAACCCCTGTTTATAATTGGGCTACTCATCCATGCATACTGTGAATGATGGAGCCATTGTTATATGTCTCGACTGATCATTAATGCATAATGTGGATGATCAAGTCATTGTTCAATGTCTGGACTACTCCTCAATCCATACTGAGATGATGAAGTCATTGTTCTATGCCTGGACTACTCATAAATGTATACT